ATGTAAAGGTACAAAAGCCGGGCCTGATGGCACACATCTGTAATCCCAGCACTCGGGAGGTTGAGGCAGGAGGATTGCTGTGAGTTCAAAACCAGCCTGGGCTACATAGTGAGTTTCAGGTCAGTCTCAAGTACATAGTAAGACCGTCTCACGAAAAAAAAAAAAAAAAAAGCACAAGATCCCAATGATGAATGTAACTGTACTGTATACCTAAAAAGTACCAACAAACTTAATGAAGGGGGGAAAAGAAAAACAACCACAAGCTCTTCAAGGAGAATAGTGTGATTGTGTTTACTGATCTATTCCAGATACCTACAACAGAGCCCATATCAGGCACTCAGTTAACAAATACAGTGGAGCCTCAGTTCATGAACTTAATTCTTTCCATGATTCCAGACCAAACTGGATGCGAACCAAATCAAATTTCTCCCTAAAGGCAACATGAACCTAACCAATGAATGTGATATGGTTCACATCCAATGTGGTCTGCAACCAGAAATGAGGAAAGAATGAAGTTCATGAACCAAGGTACTACTATATTTGATATTAACTTACTTTGGAGAGAGCAGAACACTCTACCCATCTCTCATCCTCCCACAGCTATCAGAAAGGGCAAAAGCTTTCTCCAACCCCTACAGGGAGAGGAACAAGAAGGCACCACCCAGGGGGGCTTGCTGCTCCCCCCTTTCTGTAGAGAAAAGTCTATCTCCGGCCTGGAAGCAAGGCCTAACTGCACAGCAGGAGTGTAACTTCCTACTTAAGAAACCCTGTCTACTCTAAAGCTGTTAAATACTCTAAGGTTGCATATTCAGGTCTTGAAGAAACACATTTCAGAGTCAGCCAATGTGAAATTCTGCATGTAAAAGGCCGAATTAGTATCTACTAGCACAATTCTGCAGAGATCTTATCTGCAGATCAATTCTGCAGAGATCACAAAAGGTAACTGGAACTTACATTTAACATATGGCTCCTAAAGCCAAAGATAACAGGAGCCCTCACCAGAAGGTGGCAGACACATTCCCATCTACCTGGGACACAAGCTTGGGAGCACATCACACGTCTTGTGGTTTGGTATGCCTCCTTACACCAGCACACACAAATCTCCCCTATGCTGACTAAGTTTTCATTTACAGATGGCATTAAGAGGGTATTAAAACACTTCCAGATTCTACAATTTTACAAGTCAATAATGTGAGCGTACCTGCTTAGCTCCCAGGGTAGGGTGAGCTCTTCAAGCAAAACTACTTCTTTCAAAGCAGCACAGGGATAGTAAAGTCACCCACTGTTCAGCAAAGTAGAAACTATGCTCCCAAACTCTAAATTAAAATGCTTCACTGTGAAGTAAGAAATGAACGTCTTCAGGACAGGTTCCACCAAAGACAAAACAAACAACTGAGATGTGGCTGGTAGAAACACACCTGTACCAGCCATTATGCAACTCCAATGTAGAATTGCCTTCCTGCTTGGAAATCATGTGTCTAGCTAAGTGAAACCTTAAGAGCAGGGGTAAGAAAAGAGGTAAGGAGACTCAAGACTGAGCAGCCAGGCACCATGCTGCATGGCCTGCCCCTTCCCTGCCCTATCTGGCTTCCTACTGCCAAGGCGTGACTAAAATAAGTGGCAGGGATCTGCAGGGAGGTTCTAGGAAGGGATAAGACCTGAGATAAGTCTTTTTTCTGTCAGCCCCGGTGGATGCTTTTCTCAGTTCTACACTTGGCCATTAAAGTCAGTGTGACATAACAGAGGACCAGCATGAGGCAGGTGGGCCCAAGTCACATCTCAATTCCACACTGCTATACTGGGGCAAAACCTGAAAAGTCAGGATGATGGTGCTCTAATTTAATACTGTATTTAGCTGATGATCCTGAATAACGCTTTGTCAGCTTTTGTGACCTAGCACAAAACCACATGCCTTGTGATCCACCAGCTGGGCTGTAGTAATGCCCTTGACTCAAGGCTTAAAAGCATTGCTTGGGACATAACTTTGATGTATTGTCTTTCCCTCTCGAACTGCAATGACTGTCCCCAGATTCAGCATCACACGGTATGATGCCAAAATTAGATCATGGCTGGTTAATAAAGACTACCTCTCCCCTTTGGTACCACCTCGAAAGCTGCTACTCTCGGATTTGCTTGCTTGGAAGATCAAAAAGCCATGGCTGTTTGGTTTACAGGATGCAGGGATAAGAACCATCTGCCTGGTCTGGTGTTTCTTTAATTAAAACTTTAATTACAGATATATCTCTGCACAGATACGTGCAGTCTATCAGCTCCTGTTCTTAATTACCTGTGCTAATGAGAAATGAAAAGAGAATTAGTGTTTGCTGAGTGTCTACTATGTTCAAGAATGCATGCCAAGGGCTGTGAGATGAGCCAGAGCTAGTCAGGGACACCTAGAGCTGGACTTTGCCCCGAGGACTTCAACCTGCTCCTTGACCAGTGCCCTTCGCACTGCCCCAAATAAGTTACATCTCTCCTGTGGAAAATGAAACATCAAGAAAAAAGGATCCTAACAGAAGTGAAAAAAGGAAAGGACAGTCAAACCTGAAGAAATTCTGGGTAGGTGTGTTTGATGTCTGCCACATGAAATTTTTCTAGCCCCGCCTGAAGACATGGGTAGAAAGCAGAAATCCTCGTCTGCACACTATGATTCCGAGGCGTGTCACATGGTGCCACAGGAATCACGGGCAGTCCCTTGGCGACAATCCACAAGCGAGAACAACAGGAGCTGTTCTCTGTTAGCTCCTGCCTAACGTGGCAATTCCTGCTGCCGACATCTTTATCAACTCTCTTTCTGACAAGGGCATATTTTCACTGAGGAGTAACAAAAATACCTTTCTGTACCCTCACGATGTGTTTGTCTCTGTAAAGGCCTTGGAAGGGTGAAAGGACACTAGAAAGAACTCATGAAGCAGCCAACTGGCACCTGGGCCAACCTGCTGGGGTCAGGGGCAGCACACAGAGCCTCCCAGCTTCCACACAGAGGGACCCTCTGCTCGCCCTCAGTATGGCCCTAACTTTATGCCACCTGCTGCTGTCAGGGGTGGGGAGCAGGAAGACGCAGGAAGATCACTCCAGAAGATCACTCCGACAGCTTTTCCAGCATTTCTATAAACAGTCGGCTCGTAGCAGGGCTCTGTGCTGTGCTCTACTCCAATGCACATGACTAACATAACAGAGGAGGTGGCAAATCCAAGGGCCTTGAACTCAGGCTCCTCATCAGCCAAATGAGGGTCTGACTCAGGCATCTAGTGGCGTGATGTTTGGCAGTCCTGTCGCCAAACATCAGCACTATTCTGTGACTTTCAAAATCTGTGAGGCAAAATTACACTCTCAATAACTAAGTTAGGACAGATAACAAACCAAATCTAACAGTGTTCAGGCCAATGAGGGGTGGTGCCCATTATCTGAAAAAGATAATGAGACAAATTAAGAAAGTCTATTTGAACATCTACTCTGTCCTGGCCAGCTGGAGGGTTTCCAGTCCTTTACGGTCTTAGGATAGATACACTAAACATCATGTGCGTGGATAGAAGCAAGAAAAAGAGGAAGGACAGAACTCCAGAGAAGGAGATGGGCAAGAGTGCAAAAGAAAAAGGGAAAATAAATGCGAAAAAAGCAAAGTGATACAGAAAACAAGAAATGAAGCACAGCCTTCATTAGCCCTGTAGCTAAGCAAAAGACTGGCCTCAGGATGGTCAGGTTCCTGCTTGTACACTGTTCTACAGAGCAGATGGCTACAACTTGGCCTACAGGAAAGGAACTGCTTAGTGTTGAACAACTAACCTTGCCCATAAAAACCCATTTTAACTACAATGAAGCCAGCTACAGAATTAATAGGAATGGACACATCAGAGAAGCACAAATACCAATGTTCACAGATTACATATTTTCTCTTGCTTACAAAATAAACTTCCTGCATTCCTAAACCTGTTGCTCTATAGTTATAGTTGTCTACTAGAACAAGGTCAGAATCATTGCATAGGCCAAGCTCCAAGTTTCCAAAAAAGCCATAGAAATTTCAGAGGTGCAGCCAGTTTGGCAGAAGCCATTAGAGACCCTACAGCCATATGTGTAACAGAGCCCTCCTGGTGACAGTGGCAGAGAATTATGAGAGCCGGCCACACCTTTACGTGAGCCTTATTAAGTTAGCAGTGACGCTATGTTAAAAGGTCTGGGAGCCAAGGGACAACGATGTATACCACTAAGGCCCCAGCAACCAAACTGGTGGAACCGTTTCCTGTGAGGGGCTCCCCCAGGTCTGCAGGTAAATGTGAGGCATGAGGTGTCAGGAGACAGGGAGCACCTGGAGTCAAGCACCAATTCTGCACAAGGCTGGGAGAGTGCACTTAACCTACCTGAGCACCAGCATTCTCAGGTGCAAAACAGGATTCACACACCACCCACCTTGCAGACACTTCCGAATGCTTAAAATACAAGGAAAGCACAGGGAAGACTGCGTGATACATATTCGTACAGGTGCAGAGAGGGCAGGGAGGTCGCCTCCCCCTCATTCTACTTAAGAGCACACCAAAGCCTCATAAAGTCAAGCAAAAGCCTCAGGACAGTTCAACACCCTGACTCCTTCAAAGCTAGCATCAGCCTGAGGGTAAACAGATACAGTACAGTAAGGTTAACCAAGTAAAAAGTGGCCTCCTCCCTCAGGTCCGCTTCCTTGAGTCTCCATAACCAAAAATCACTAGAATGGGAGAACCTATCAACACAGGGTGAGGCGGTTCTTCCCAAGCTCAACACGCCAGGTGTAACTTTTCCCACCAAACCTGCATTCATTTGACAGGTGCTTCATCACCACAGTTCACATAGTTCCCCTTTCAGAGAGCCAAGGGTCTCTACGTCAGTGGCAAAGGTTGAGAGGGCAGGCAGGTGAAAGTGTCGCTCTGTGTACAGTGTGCATGCCCTGCTCCTGACATCCAGGTCTGGCCACACTACATGCCAGTGCTGCTTAAAGGGTTGGCACACATCGCTCAGCTAAAACTCACCATGATCCTTTGGGTAGGTGTTATTATCATCCCCAACTTAAAGAGGAGGAAACTCAGGCACAAGGAGGGTAGGTAATGTGTTGCGGTCAGAACACTTGCAAGAGGCCGGGGTGGATTCAAACCATGGTCCTGGCCCTTCACCACGGGTTCACTACCACTGCCTCTTGGCACAGCCATAGGATGAGGTTCAGTTTCAAAAGCACCTTTCTTCTGAGTTCCCAGTGTGTGTTTCATTTATCCTCCCAACAACCCTAAAAAGCAAGTAGGAAACATACAGTATCTACATTTTACATATAATAAACGGAAGTAGCATCAATGAAATGTTTTACACACTCCTACATGGTCAGCCAAACAACCAATTTCACTGTTTGCACACCAAAATTAAAATCTGGTAAAGATTTCTGTTTTTAATATCTTAATTCTGGGTAATTAACAGATACAATAACATATCAAGAGACCTTGCTAGTCCGATGAAGATTTTCTGACTCGCATATAATAGTCTTCTCAGTGAATCACAATTACAAAAAACAATACCCATGTGGCTTATGACTTACCCGAAGTTGCAAATACTAACCAAATAGCTGACACACCCTGAAAATAGGTAATAACTGTGCATGTGTACTAGCTGTCTTTGAAAAATTAGCTTAATCTTAAAATACACTGAAGGGAGAAAACTTTAAAAAAAATCTAACTGATCTAATCACAAAATAAAACATGACAATAAAAATTTCTCCTCCCTGTCTATTAATGTCTCTTCACCTCGAACCAGGCTTATGACTGAATCAGGTGGGAGCCCACAGGAGAGCGGCTGCAGGAGTAGAGTCCGACAAGCATTCACCACTCTGCAGCCCTGTGCATCTAGGAATTCTGAGTTGGGCACTGTTTCTTTGGTGCTGGAAAGATACAGCATCAAAGGAACAAATAAAGGACACACTTGAGCCCAAAAAAGTTTCATGGCATCTGAAAAACATTCCTGCACAACTGTGTCAGTCGTTTTTTGTTTTGTTTTTTTTTAAATCACTTTAATATTCAAGATTCAGCAAGAAAGCAGCTCCCAACTGCTGGGACAGTTACAATCAAGGGGGCTTTGTGATGGCAGGATTTTTTTGCCTATTAGTATTTCTCAACTTTGCTATTTTGCAATTCTGTGAATAGACACCCAGCAGGCCAAAGGCAGCTTCCCAGGTATGTGGGTGTGATGGGCACAAAAGAGCTTGCGAACCTGAGGAAGTATTCCAGAGAGTTGTGATCGCTGATGAACAGCTCGCCACGGCTGATTTTAATTTCTGGTTCTAATGAATGGTATAAACTTTTATAGGTATCAACAAAGCTCAGAGAGGACTCAAATCCATTTCAGTGCTCATTTAGCAGCTTCAGCTGTGTGCAATTAAAACATCAGCATTAAATGTTAGAGAATAAAATAATGAGATGCTGAAAAAATAATCTGCGCTTCACTGGCCCACACTAAAGGGATCTAATTTCAGGGGGGGCGATTTCTTAGGAATATCTTGCAAGTTCAAAGACTTAAGTTTGATTTTTGGTTTACTTTGCCTTTAAAGTATTTTCTGAAAAGAAGAATACAATAAAAATGCATTACTTGAAAAGCAAACATGAAATAGAAGCAAATGGCATAAATCAATCTGGTATAAGGACCATCAGGGCTGAAACCAGGTTTCAGGGGAGGCAACAGCAGTTTGGGTTATGTTAAAATGCTGACTGCCCTTTACTTATGTCTCAAAGAAATAGAATACTGAAGGGAGGGAGAGGTGAATTTTGGTACTCAAACAACTTTATATTCTAGCACTTTAGCAAAAGTAAAATTAAAAATCTAAGCTTTTTCTTCCAATAATACTTGAGAATGCAAACTATAATCTGAAGGTGGAGAGTGTGCAGCTATTTCTGAAGGAAAGACAGGTTACCCTGCAGGACAGAGTTGTGTGGTGATGGCGGAGGGGCTGTGTGAAGGGAATGGCAGTGGTTCGGGAGCAAGGGGTGGCTGTGGGTAACCCAGGTGTGAGTTATATGTGAATAGCAGTTAATTCAGCTTTTGCAAAACATGGATAGAAAAGGAAATATCCTGTATGGGGAAATGCACTCATTAAACTTAAATTTGTAAAGGATGAAAACACAGATTACACTTTATTTTTAAAAACTGAAATGAATTTTAATACAGAAAATGAAGACAGCATTTTGCAAATTTATCACTCAAAGGGGTATCTCTATTTGAGGAAATCAGCGTGCTACACTTTGAGAGATGAAATGTTACAGCTTGTACACCAAAATTAAAAAATGAAATTAAATTAAAAAATGAAATGGTTACCAAGGTAATGCAGGTCAGGGGATCAAAGGTGAAGGGTCACACATTATTAAAAAGAAATCCAAAAGGACGGCTGCGTCATGATCTCTGCAAAACAAAGGAGCTCCAGTAAGTACAACTAATATCTCTGAGAATTCAAAATCAAGCTCTTGAAAAGAAGACTCCACTGTAACTGAACACGGTTATTCCTGATAACTTGTACAGCCATTTTTATTTAGGTACAAAACCAAATTTTAATTACCTGTTACCAACAAAATTTTGTAAACATTTAACCATTCAATCATACTAAAAACCAAAATATCCCCAATTTTGGGGGAAGTACTGATATTTCAGTTGGAGCCCACACCCTGTTTTCTGGAAATGACAAGTGTCTGATAAGTTGCCAACATATCAGAAATCTAATTTGGTCACAGCATGGTTGAGTTTTCTCCCTCTCCTCAAGGAATGAGTTCCAAAATTGAGTTTTTGCAAATTTCTTTCATTTGAAGTAGCTGCATAAAATTTCCATTATTGGAACATTTAGTATAACAATGTTCTAGAAGACAGCAATAAAGTGATACATGATAAAATAAACTGTGTAACTATATCTATTAAGATCTGTTCTCACATTCAACTTTCACTGCACAGGGAAAAATCATTTTAGGCAAAATAACTTGCTAGTTCTACTGGAATTACACAGAGTTAATAGAAGCTTGACATATGGAATATTTAACAAAGGGAAAAAAGTATCTGACAGGCTTCATTTCTTCAACAAATGTTATTATTTACTCATGGTAACCATTAACAAATATGTTTTCAAAAGAACATCATAACAAGCTATGTTTTTCTAATGTAGCACCCAATTCATGACAAATTTAACTTTACAGCAACCAACAGTAACAATTAATAGTGATGGCAAATAATTTCAACATTTACTTCACAAGTAAATAAAATGAACAGTTTCATACTACAGTGTTCTGTGTCTCCTCTGAAAACTAAGACTGAGCAGGCTACACTGCTATGTGAGGGCCCGGACTCCCGGCACTTCCTGGTCAGCAGACTCTGAAAGGCTGAGTGCACGAAGGCTGCCACCTAGGACCACAAGTGGAAGCACAACCTGTGGAAGGTAACCTGTGTGGCTACCATTCCTCTAGAATCCCCACGCGCCATTTCTTCTTCTGTTCAATTTTAGCCCAAAATATCGAACACATGAGTTAACATCATTATGATCAAATTCCCCAAAGATATATTAAACTATAGACAACTGTCCAAACGGGTTTTATTAAGAAGAACAGGATATTCTTTCTAGTAGCTTATGGCAATCAATAAGCAAGCAAACTCTGTAAATGCCAGATTTCTGCTCCCTCTGATTAGGCGCTGTTAAAATAGCTTGCAGAGTTTCATGCACTGGATACAGTGTGTTAATGCCTTGAGGGTACATCTCTAAAACCAAGATTCCTTCCCTTTAGGTTGCACCCACTGCTGAAAAGTAAACCCGCATTCCATTTTCTGGAGTGCTCATCTCAGTCTGTCACATATGTATTTGTTGCTGCGAGGCATGCAAGCAATTCTGAACAGTACAGAGGGAATCGATACCCATCAAAACAATGCTTCCGTTGTTTTAGCAGCAACATTATCTAGACTGTTTCAGCACGTTTGTAACAAAAGGCAAGAAGCCAGCAGTGTAACCTTAGTCAAGTCTTATTTTCAAAAATATTTTATATTAAAAAGGAGAAGCAGCAAGCCTATTTCAGATTGAGCATATCTATATCCCATTCCTTAGCAAAATGTGTAATCTCTACTTGACAACAAAATGAAGTCCTCACAGATGCCTTTAAAAAAGTCTAAATGATTCTTAAAAGCCACCAACTTACAAGAACCACTACCCCAAATTTTCTATCAGTTTCTTAAGCCATGCCAGAAGTTTCAGACACAGACTATTAGAACATAAGCAATCTCAAAGTAGTCAGGAATTGCTCTTTAGAACCTCAATATTACAACCAACCAAATTCCCACAAATAATTCCATAGGAACAAAAATCAACCTCTCCTCCTAAACACTTAGCAGATCTGACAAACTGGTTCTGAATGAAACTGTGTCAAGGGCCGGGGATTTAGCTCAGGGGACCACCGCTTGCCTCACAAGCGCAAGGTCCCGAGTTCGATCCCTGGCACCAATAATACGGGTGGGGGAGTTGTGTCAGTAATGAAAACACTGTTGGTAATTTCAAAAAAAACAAATCAATGATGGAGTTTAGCTAATGTTCTCTAAATGAGTTTGCCATTTGGGAGGGGACGATAACAGCTGCAAGGATTTTACCGGGATCCTCAGAGTCAAGGATACTGAAACAATTTAGGAAGTAAAAAGAAGGCTAAAAGCCAACAAGGGACAACTGATGCTACTTTAACAACACAGACCTTGTCCTCAGCACGCAGCCCATTTGCTGGGCAGGTATATGGAATTCACATGTGCTTTCCACAGAAGTCACTGGCATTGACACCTTCCTATTTAACCTAAAAACTGTTAAAGGGAAGGTTCTGCTCTGAATTCTTAGAAGTTGCAAGGCCTGGAGCAGCTTCTCCGCCCCCTGATGGAGCTGGCCCTGGCCTGATTTGGGGTTCCATTTCTCTTTGGAACTTCCCACCACCAGCTCTATTCCCAGGCCCCAGTCAACAGTGCCCCATGAACCAAAATAACTCATCTTGCTCTCTCCTCCAGAAGCCTCCCTGTTCTCTTCACTAGGGCCACAGGAAGCCAATGACTACAAATGGACTGAAGCAATACACACCCACTGAGGTTGTCCGCACCCAAAACAGATCCCCAGCTTGAGCAACGCCAGAGTTCTTCCACGTGGAGGAGCACAGAAGGCTCACAGGCCTCACAAAGACTTAAAACTCACAGTCCTAGTGTAGGTGCAACTGTAGCCTTAACTCTGAAACTGGAAATGATTCTAGGCCACCATGGTCGAAAGAAGGTAACAAGTCTCTGACAGCGCCTCAAGTCACCAGACCTCCAGCAGGGAGGGTGTCTCCAGGAGGGAGTCTCACCTGCAGGCAGCTCTAACATGTGGACCACACTGTTCAGGAATCTGACTTCCCTAAACTCAATCTGTACTCTCTATTATGGGGAGGAGTCATGGAGTTGGCTTACCTTTAAAATAAACACGTAAAGCAAAGAAATCATTTCTAAGAAGGTTAAAGTATGACAGAAATGCTACCATTCTAACCTCAAGCATATTTCTTTTGAAGTTAAAATACATCGAAGGACTGGAGAGAAATGAAAAATAAAAGTTACAAAAGTTCAGTCAGAGAAACTAGGGGACAGTTAAACCATTAAAACAGAACCCTAGACATTTTACTAACTCTTTACAAAACAGCCTTTAACTCGATGATGTTATATAATGCTTTCTGCAGCAGAAACTAACCTCAGCAAGTATATTCAGCAGTAAAAGAAATATCCAGCCAAAAGTCGATATCTGTGACAGGCAAAATTTATCATTTTTAATCTATCACCAGCATGCCATTCAATAAAACACAAAATGCACTTGAGCTAACTATACCCCTAAATTAAGTGGGGGTTACATTCCTATTACCACTTTAGGCTAGGGCTTTTGTCAGGTTTTCCAGCTTAGTAGAAATACCGTCCATTAATAACCAAAGACAGAAGGAGCCTTTGGTTCCTGTATCTGAGACTCAGCCAGGCATGGCCCCAAAGGATGCCTCACTCTGCCTTCCTGTTCACATGAGCCACGTTCACCATCCCTACCACTTTTCCAATCTTCTAGAAAATATATTTCCTGTCAAATATTTCAAAGATGGCCCAAGATATTTGTCAGTTTCTCAAAACTTTCTATAATACAGCAACCTATACCTATAATCATATTACTTCCTCTATATTCTTTCCAAAAAAAACCCTAAAACTACAATTAAACACCTTCCTGCCTACTATTTTATCCTCAATAATGTAACTTTTTCCCCCTAATAACGTCAAAGGTTTCATAAAAGGATAAAAAATGGAGGAGAAAAGAACTGCAAACTTCTGACACATATCATATGCTTGTTAGCATAAGGTGAGGGTAGTCACGCGATGTCTACATTTACAAAACTCACACAAAAATGTGTCAACAGGAAGACAAACCCCACATGTTTTCACTTATATGTGCAAACCGAAAAGCTGATCTCACAGAAGCAGAGTAGAAGAATGGTTCAAGAGTCTGGCAGTGGACAGGAGGAAGAACTTGCAATGTCCTGAAACACAGCAGAGTAACTACGGTACACAAGAACTAACAGAGAATTTTGAATGCTCCCAACACATATGAAAACGAAATGTCTGCGTTAATGGATTTGCCAATAACCCTGACCTGATCACTGCGTAACTACTACGTACTGAGCTGTCATGCTGTGCTCCATAAATACGTGTAATTACCATGTGTCAGTTACAAAAAATATATTTTTTTAAAACGTGCAATTTATTGTACGCCAATTACTCCTTAATAAGCTGTGCAGGAATGAGAGTGGTGGGTGGGTGGGAGCACAAAACGGGGACACGTGCTCAAAGCCACCCGGCCAGGCCCTGGCTGCTCCTGCAGACCCCTGGGCTATTTGTTGTCTTGCTGCTTCCGGAGATAATAAAAGTATCCTCAGTGTTTATAAATAAACATAAAACAAACAGATAAATACTAAGTGTTTATCTAAAAATTATCTTTAAAAGTATTTATCTAAAACATCTGACAGCACTAGCTTTCATACTGGCCACACCTTGAAATCATCATATTTCTAAGTTACCATATTTTCCACATCAAAAATCAAGGCACAATCTAACATGTTCCTAAGAGATCACCAAAAATCAGCCTTGGACAAAAACTCCTAATTGTGCACATGATATGCTAATTCACAAAACATTCTCAAGTTTTTGCTTCAGAATGGCCTGCCATGTTTATAAAATTGAACCAACCTTGTCATAACCAAGGATCCACTCCTTTCTAGGGCAATTCCAGGAGGGAAAAATGATGATAAAATAGGTACCAAATTCCACCAAATATTAATGTATAAAATCGGGGTAAACTCACCCATGCTGATTTTATTCTCATGTGACTTGTTTGAAAACTTAC